GCGCACCAGGCGGCCGAGGGCCTTGCGGAGGGCCGCCCCCGGCCGCCCCCGAGCCCCGACCTCATCAACTTCGGGTCCGGACCGCCCGCCTGGAGCCCGAGGCGCCGCCGCCTCCCGTCCCTCCCAAGTTCAGAAGCTGTGAGTGGCCGGCGGGGGGGCGCTGAGCTCTGTGGCTCTGGCCTCCGGGGGTGGGCCCAGCCAAGGGGCTCCGCTTGGGCCTTCAAAGCAAATCCTCCCGGGTGGCCAGCTCTTGGAGTGTGGGGCAGAGGGCGGCCGGTGCTGGGGAAAGGGTGGCAAGAGCATCTGTACTTGGGGACACCAGGGACGGTGGCCTGGGGGCCGTGGGACAAAGATGCCAGGAGGTCTCCAGCCACAGACAACTTGCGGAGAGTCTAGCACAGCGGGACCCAGACGGTTTCACGGAACAGTCTTTGAAGTTGCCCAGTGAAAAGCAGGTTCCATGGTGAAATGAGTTTAGAAAACGTGTGTAGGACTCCAGCCCTCCACTCCTCTCCACTTGGGAGTTACAGCGCCTGGAACATTAAGGCTCTGAGAAGACCTGCGCTAAGGAAACCTGCTTATCTGTATTAACGCAGAATTTCCCAACTTACATGTGCGCAGAATATGGACAACGCCTATGAACACCCCATGGAGGCCACTTTGAGTATTTGACCTATGAGTACGAGATGCAGACGGCAGATACGTTACAGACACTTTAATCCCCTCCCACAATGCCTCTTCCCTCTTTTTTCCTTTTTGTGTGTGGAGGGAATGTCTGTTTTTCTGATTTATTTTTTTTTAAGAGTAAGACAGGGCTCTACTTTTTAAAAAAATATTTTTATTGATTTCAGAGAGGAAGAGAGAGGGAGGGAGAGAGAGATAGAAACATCAATGATGAGAGAGAACCGTTGATCGGCTGCCTCCTGCACACCCCACACTGGAAATGGAGCCGGCAATCCGGGCATGGACCCTTGATGGAATCGAACCTGGGACCCTTCAGTCCGTAGGCTGATGCTCCATCTCTTGAGCCAAGCCAGTGAGGGCTTTCTGATTGTTCTTTAATCTACTTTTCTATATTCTTTTTCTGACATCCTTTATAGATTTCCAAGGCAGTAGGAGACTGTGTATGTTGTGGGCTCTTGAGAAGTGAAACAGGCCGGAGAGAGGAGGAGGGGTGGGGTGGGTAGGGTAGGTGGCTGGTGGAGGAGGTGGGGCGTGAGGCCAGGCAGCCTCTTGGCAAAGTGGGGCAAAGAGTCTCAGAGTTAGTTGTTGGGGAAGAGAAAGAAGGAGGTCAGCTGCCTGGGGTCGGAGGTGGAGTCATGCCCTCTGCTTGCAGGTGAAGGAGGAGTGCCGGCTTCTCAACGCCCCGCCCGTGCCTCCCCGGGGTGGCAATGGCAGCGGCTGGCTCCCTGGCAGCCCCCCGGTGCCCCCACGCTTCCCCAAGCTGCAGCCTGTCCACTCGCCCAGCTCCAGCCTCTCCTACTACTCCTCTGGCCTGCAGGATGGGTGAGCCCCTTTCCGCTTCTGGCCGGTTCGCCTGTGGTGGGTTGAGGCAGGGGAAAGAGGAAGGGAGTCCAGGCTGAGGAAGGGAAGACTGCAGGCTGCGGGTTCAAAGGGTGCAGGTCCTTGAGCAGTGCTGAGGGGGAGGGCACTCGGTGGGGGGCTGGGGCCCAGTCACTGCTCTCCACGGTCCTGCTTCAGTTGGCTGCTTTCCTAAATGTGAGGATTGGACGGGAACATTGCGCTGGTTCCTTCCAGGCGGGGACTCTGTCCCAGGATGAAGTGTTCCTTGCTATTTAAATTTTTTTCCGTAACTCAGTTTCATTGACTTTTTCCTGGGGCTGGGGATGCCTGAAGAAAGAATGGAGCAACCCCAGAGGTCCCGGGCCTTGAGGGCTGGGGTCCGGGCCTGTGTTGCCGAGATCGGAGTGGCGGCCTCTGTGGCCAGCAGAGTGGGGGTTTGCAGGGCCATGGGTGTGACCTGGCGTGTTTCCCTCTTGCTCTGTCTTACCCTCCGTATGTGTCTGTCTCTCTGCCCACAGGACGGGTTCCCGCAGTGGCAGTGGCTCCCCGTCACCAGATGCCTACTCCCTCTATTGCTACCCGTGCACCTGGGGAGACTGCAAAGTGGGCGAGTCCTCTAGCCGCCCCCCACCGCCGGGACCCCTGCCCTCCACCACGCAGCCCAGCCAGGCCCCACGGGCCCTCGCAGAGCCCCTGAGCAGTCGAGCTGCCTCCCTCTTGGGGGCTGACACCCCTGTCAAGACCTACCACGGCTGCCCGCCACCACTTCTCAAGCCCTCTCACCCCCAGAAACGCTTTGCTCCGTTTGGAGCCCTCAACCCCTTTTCCGGGCCTGCCTACTCCTCAGGCCCTTCAGCGGCCTCCTCTTCAGGGCCCACGACCGTCTCGGCTGCCCTGGCTACCTCCAGCCCTGCGTGCTCCCCAGGCCCAGGCTCCCCAGGCCCGGCCTATTCGGCTGCACCCACCTCCTCCTGTCCCACCTCCTCCTCCTCCTCCTCTGAGTGGCAGGAATCGGCCCTGGAGCCCTTTGATCCCTTTGAGCTGGGGCAGGGTGGTTCTCCAGAGCCGGAGTTGCTGCGCTGTCAGGAGCCCAGAGCTGTGGGGGTACCTGGGCCTGGACCCCGCCTTTCACCTCTTGGACCCCCCAAGGCCTTTGAGCCTGAAGGGTTAGTGCTACGGCAGGTCCCCACTCCACTGTCACCAGCGGCCCCGAAGGGGCCCAAGGCAGGTGGAGCACGCCTCCTTCTCACCCAAGGGCGCCTGGAAGGGCCTCCTGCCAGTCCCCGGGAGGGCGCCATAGGCTGGGGAGGCCGGGAGGCCTCCTGGCAGCCCCCCGCCGACCTGTCTGCGCTCTCTCTGGAGGAGGTCTCTCGCAGTCTGCGTTTCATCGGGCTCTCCGAGGACGTGGTGAGCTTCTTTGCCCGAGAACGTATCGATGGCAGTATCTTTGTGCAGCTCAGTGAGGACATCCTGGCTGACGACTTCCGCCTCACCAAGCTTCAGGTCAAGAAGATCATGCAGTTCATCAAAGGCTGGCGGCCCAAGATCTGACCTTCCCAGCTTGCAGCTGCGCAACCGGAAGGCTGGCCCAGAGGCCCGAGGCCAGCCACGGTCTGCAGGGGACAGTGCTGCCTGTGAGGGTGCCAGGTAGCCACTCTGTGAATCCAGGGGGGCCACACTGGGAAACGGGGTCCTCTGGGACCAGACCCCGGCATGGGGACGGCTTGCCTTGGAGTGTGCAGAGCACGTGGGGAGAGGAGCAGAGGCCCCCGGCCGCCTGCACCTGGTGAGGCACTGGCTGTGACCCCCATGGTGGGGTCAAAAGCTGGCCTCATGGTGACCTAACACTGTCCCACACTCTGAAGATCTTCACAGACAACTCGCACTTCTCCAGTTTGGAGGTGCCGGTTAGCAGGAAGGGAGTCCGTAATTTAAGCACAAATCCCCCAAGTGCCCTCTCTCCTCTGTGCTCTGGGGGCTTTTGGCCTAAGCTGCCCCAGGGTCGGGGTGCCAATTTCAGGACCTCTGCGCTGCGATGCCCTTCCCTCCCCCCTCTGCTGCACCTTGAGTAGGTCCCTGGCCCTGAGCACAAGTGTATCCAGTACAAGCCCGTGCCTTTCACCTCCGAGCCCCACTCCGGGTTCTGGTTCGCGGGCGCTGACGTTGGAAGAGCACAGCGCTGCTGGTAATGGACGTAGCTCATTAGGGAGGCAGGTGCCTACGGACGCCCTGGGTTCTGAGCTCAGTGCAACTAGCCCTCATCCTGCCAGGGGGGGTCCAGTCTGTGAAGACTCTGACTCCATGGAAGAGCAGGCTGATTGGTCGGCTGCTCCTTGGTTCTGACAAGTGGCTTTCAATCACTCCCACCTGCACTGGTCTCCTGCCTCCATCACTTGACTCTGGCAAACACCTGGTGTCCTTCCCTGGTTTCCTGTCCATAGTCGCAGGTGGGATGGGTGGGAGGCAGCACAGTGGCTTGGGAAGACCTGCCCTTGCTCAGGTGCTTTCGGACAAGCCTTTGGGCCCTGGATCTCGAGCATGGTGGTCCATGGCACCCCGGGCAGGTTGGTCGTTGTGTGCAACTGCCCGTCCCCCATGCTCTTCCCGTCTCACCTGCCCAGACCACATTACTTCTCATGCTCACTGGGGCCAGGCCCCAGAGGTACCAGCCTTCTGCCTTACCCAGCCGACCTAGATATTTATTTCCTGCCTTGAGAATAGCAAAGCCATGCTGGTGCCTGTGCCCCAAGCAGGCCTCCTCAGCTCTGAGGGAAGGGAGTCAGGAAACAGCACAGAGACCGATGCAGAGACAGTTGGTTTCCTTGCTGATCAGGTAATGAATTCCCGAGGACTCGTGAAATAAACGCTAGACGCCGAGGACAGTGCCGGTGCAACTCCGCTGTCGGCTGCTTTCTTCCCGTGAAGGAATGGTGGGCGTGCCCCGCAGGAGAGGACGTGGGATGGTGTGCCTGCAGCCCATTCACGTGTCCCCAGAAAAGGCTGGTAGTGCTGCCCGATTCCCTGCTGAGAGCCCCTCAGAGCCCCTGCCCTAAAGAACTTTTCAGCTCCCTCAGCTGTTCCAACGGAATTCACACCTACCTAGTGCTGTTCAGAGGAAGGACCAGACTTCAAAGCTCCATGCCACCAGCCCGGGCCCAGGTTCAACTTCCTGCGCTGGCAGACCGCCTGCCGTGAGGCGCTCAGAGCCCCATGTTCTAAAGCCAGTTTTCTTTTCTTTTTTTAAAGGTATTTTTATTGATATCAGAGAGGGAGAGGCAGTTAGAAACATCAGTGATGAGAGAGAATCATTGATCGACTGCCTCCTGCACACCCCCTACTGGGGATTGAGCCTGCAACCCGGGCATGTGCCCTTGACTAGAATCGAACCCATGACTCTTCAGTCCACAGGCTGACGCTCTATCCACTGAGCCAAACCAGCTAGGGCCTGAAGCCTGTTAATGGCTGTGGTGGATCAGTTCTCTACCTGCGGACTGGTCATCTGAAAACCCCAACTCAGAGACGACTTGGTTTTAGAGCCTGGCTTCCTAGCAACCAACTGTCAGTGTTTAGTAGAGCCAGAGTTAAGGTCCTTGCCTGGCAGTCCCAACAACAGAACTGGTCCAGGCAACGTCTGAAGTACTTGTTGCACTCAAACTGGCACAGAGGCAGGAGGGACTGGTCACTTCTCAAAGTTGAGAAGGCGCAGTGATGGGACACGATTCCGCACACACTCAGCGTGGATCCTTCTGCCAGAATGAGCTAAGAGCCTCGATGCTGTTTACCCAGACTGGGCCCTGCTTCTGTCAGAACCTGAGTGTAGGAACTTCCCACAGCAGAGGGCAGGGCGTAGGGGAGGAGAGGAGGGTCTCGCAGAGCGGAGGAGGTGGTGGGCTGACTCAGCATCCCCTGTACTCACACGTGCTGCCTCTGCTCATTGTGCAGGCATTTCCCATGCTGTGGTGCAGCTAAGAGGTGCAGGAATCAGTGACCAGGAAAATGTGATCTCCTCTGATTAATGCCAACCTTCCCACAAACACGCTGAGAAGCATGTGTGAATGTGTCACACCAAGAAAAAACGGTAAAACTCTGCAACAAGGAAATGCAGTCTAGGGAGAGTTTGTTTTATCCTGGTCCTCCATACCTGGTTAGTCAGGGCCACTTCCCGCTGTAAGCAGAAGCCCAGCCAAAGCATTTAAATAGTCAGGTTTAGCCTCAGAAAGTCCCACCCTCTATATCCCAGTCTCTCTCTCTTCAGGTGCTGCTCAGAACTCAACATTCTTACCCAAAGCATAGGGCTTTCTCCCAGCCCACTCCTTGAAGGAGGGGTTTAAACCAGAAGGGCAAAGACAGTAGAAAAAGGAACAAGCAGGCAGGGAGGCTGATAAATAAGTTTGGTTTTTATTATCCTGTGTTTGGCTGAGTGTGTGACTGCCCTCGCCACCACTGGCTTCCTGGGAGGAACGCTGCCACTTTGGATCTTTGGGCTCATAGATTCGTGAGCACAGTGGGTTCACCTTCCAACAGGAAGTGCAAACACAGCCAGACTTCACCGGGAGGAAGAGACAGTCTTAGCTGAAGGCACTTTAATCAAGGCACACACCCAATGCCAGTGTTTGTCTTCCCTCCGGTTACGGATAAATCTAGGTGCCACTCTGTTGGAGACCAGCACTGCGGCAGGTGGGTTAGTGGGGAGCGAGCAGGTGTGAGCTGCTCACTGGTAAAACTTCTTGTTAGCGCTAGCCTGGTCGATCAGCAGCTGGCATGGGGTGAACTGTTTCCCGTAGGCAGCCTCGTACCTCTTGAGCCGGTCCACTATCTTCTGAGCACCATACAGATCCACAAAGCGGAAGGGCCTGCGGGGGAAGCAGGACTTTGTTGAAGGAGACAGCCATACGAGCTCTAAGATAAAGCAAGCTACCTCCCCAACCTCCAAGGCCCACCTCCAAGACAGGGGGGGAAGCCGAGTCCAAAGACCGCTCCGATGTCTCCCTCTGCAGGTGTGGCCAAGATCTCTTCCTGCAGGCACATGGCGGCCTCGTTCACGAACCGTGACACCAGGCGGTACTGGATGTCTTCGTCAGAGGAGCTGCCAACAGGGAGGGACATTCAGGCAGAGAAGAGCAGGAGGGGAGGGTTGCAGGAGCCACACAGGGATGAGAGCCGGCCTCCAACTCTAGAGAAGGTGCTGCCGGGAGTCCAGCCTTTCCCGGGAAAAAGACTGGGTAGAGCTACTTGCCCTGATTAACCAGAAACAGCACCTAGAACAGGGTCTGCAACAGACTAGATAAGCACCTCTAGGTATCAGCAATGGTCAATTACAAATGATACTAAAGGGGCCTGGGACAATGGTCTTTCTAGCTGCTCTCTGGGACCTTCCGAGGGAAGGCTGGAGCAGGGGTCTACCAAGGCTTGGCGGCAGTTCTCCCCTGATGCGGGCAGAGAATGAGGTGGCGTGCAGAAGGCAAAAGTACAGAGCACTGTGCCAGCATCAGGGGTGTTCTTGGTCAGGCACGGTGATCATAACAGAGACGGAAGAGGGGCTGAGAAGCTTTGGCTGATAGGAACGTTTCCATGCCATAAGCCACTCAAACTGACTTACACTTCAGGCTTAGGAGACACCTGCAGGCCTGCCAAAACACTATCCATGTCAGAATTCAAATCCTTACTCTTCACACCCTCCTTGTAGACATAAAAGCCCTTCCCAGACTTGCGACCTAGAAGAAGCAGGAAAAGGTAGAGTTAAAATTCTTAGAACCCGGGCCCGAGAAACCACTTCCCTTCCTGCTGGTCTGCGGTAAAGCTCCCGCCTCTCCTGCCTCTCGCCTGTGTTCCCGGGTTTTGGATCTAGCTAACCCTAGACATCTGGTGTTTGTCAGAGAGCTCACAGAGCAGGAAGAGAGGTCTTAGGGTTTGGACATCTTTGTATCTGTATGGGAAAGGCCAGCTGGGTGAGTTTTAATGCCCAGATGTGCAACACCAGGACCTGGGATGCCCAGGTCCTGGCACTGATTTTGCTGCTTTTTGCTGCTACTTTCAAAAGAGAAAGCCACCTCTCTGGGGGCCTCAACTGTACACTCTGTAGGTAGAGCTACTTTCTCCACACAGGTGGCCAGCAGCATGGTAATGCAGGTCACAGATGTCCGAGGCCTTGGGCAGGTTGAAAATACTCGTCGATCTGGCATAACTGGGGCCAGGTAGTGGCGGAGCTTCAGAAGGCCAAGGTTTTACCTTTTGTCCACAATCCACAGGCCCAGACTAAGGAGAGGTTGTCATGCAGTCATTTTTGAAATTCCCTATGATACCAGGAAACACACACGGGCCTCTGTAACTCCTTGGTCTCCTGAAGCTGTTCGGAACTTGTGACTGATGGAGCTCGTTGTGTTTCTTTGAGGATACTCACCCAGGAAGCCCTTGGCCACCATCTGTTTCAGCAGCTCCAGGCTTCCACCTGCAAACCTCTCCCCAAAGGCTTTGCCTAGGTCTTCTGCTACGTGTTTTGCTACATCAACACCAACTTCATCCACCAGTGTGGCAGCACCCACAGGAAAGCCAAAGCCTGTGGTCAGGGAATCCAGCTTCTTAGGGCCAACTCCTTCCTGAATGGGAAGGAAAGCAGGGACCTCAGGGGAAGGCCATCCCTGGTCCCCCACACGGGCTCCCTGTGCAACAGCCACTTCTCTTCTGGCTGCCACCTGGCCAGGCCCAGGACTGGGACTGTTTCAGTCAGGGAAACACGAGGTTTGGGGGTCACACAGGCAAAAAGTCTGAGCCTTCCCTAACCTTTAAGGAAGTCTAGAGATGAAAGGTATTCATTTCCTTGTCTGCAATTCTGAATCTCAATAACCAGAAGATTCCATGGCAGACAGGGCTGGTTCCCAGGACTGAAAGGAGAGAGAGTCCAAGAAGCAGTGCTGCAGAGCCCCGGGATCCTGTGTCTAAGTGCCTGTGAATGACCTGTAGGGCCACCGGGGGGACTGGCTTGCACAGAAGCAGACACAACACCAATCAGACCATGCAGGTTCTGTTCTGGATGGCCCCTGCCGCTAAGGGGATGCAGAAACAGCACAGAAGAGCATGCTGGGAGGCCTGTGGACTAATGGAGCAGAGAGAGGCTAAGGGAGCAGAGCCTATGGCTCCCCACCCCCGTGCAGAAAGGGATGCCACGAAAGGGCCTTCTTGGAGAAGAGTCAGGGGTAGTGCATTAGAAGGAAGCTTCTCCTCATCCTGACATCAGCGGTTCGGGGGACTGGTTTAAGGAGTGGGAGAGGCCTCAAACATTCCGAGAGCAATACCAACCTGGAGAATTCTGATGACTTCAGACATCATGGGTGCGAGACACCTCGTGGTATAGAAGCCAGGTCCATCCTGCCAAGGGGGAGAACATGAACTCGGGGCCCCTCTGTTGCAGATACTACCCGAGTCTGAAAGCAGCCTCCCTTTCCCAGGTATCATTTCAGAGTTCAAGGTGATCATAACCTCAATCAGAATCCTTAAAATGAAATGGCAAGGGAAGCCACAGCCAGGAGCAGCAGGGCTGGAATCCACGAGCACAGCATGTGGTTTCGTGGCCACCCGAAAGGCTGGGAACCTGCCACGTCCCAGACTTGCCCCACTCCAACCCTGACTCAGTGGTACAGTCAACACCACTATCCATACTGTACACAATCAAGGGGAAGTCCTATCAAAAGGAACGAGTTATAAATAAGCCTGGAGGTATGAGGAGTCTTAATAAAACTTATCCAAGTCTGCCGCTCTGTTCCACAGCTCCTTACCTTAACCACAATGATGACCTTCCCCTGCTTGAGACCCACTGCGACAGCGGACGCAGTCGTGTCCTTAGACGTCTTCTCGGTTGTGATAATCTCCAGCAGCTGCATCTTGTCCACAGGAGAGAAGTAGTGCATGCCAATCACCTGGCAAGGGGAACAAAAAGCCAACAGGTTTCACGCTGAGGAGGAAACTTAGCAGCTTCTCTTTTCGCTGGGAAGCCCTGGAAAGAAGAGCGGTTGTGATCCAGGAGCACTGCTTGGCAGAGTCAAGTGGTTTGGTCCATGGTTCTTTGATCAAAAGTTCAGTATGTTCAGAGAGAGCTTACTGGATCCTCTCCCATCTGCTTCTAGGGCTTTTCACTGAGAGCAATTGGTCCCACCAACAACTGGTACCAAAATCATGGCTAAAGGCCAAATTAGAGTTATCAGGCAAGAATGGAGGGTCCACTTGTATTAATGCTGACGGTTTAGGTGAGAGGGTCTACTTTTTGTGGGGGGAGAAGGGACAGACAGGACGCCGTCAGTTCTGGGCAAACTGAGATGGTTGGTCCCTTTGGCCTTACTTGCATACGAATGACATTAGGTGATGAGAATTATCTGAGATCCTGCAGGCCGGACTGCAAAGCGCGATGCTTGCTCCTCTCCGCTGGGGAGAACGAGAGGTGGCAGCAAAGGAACAAGAGGGCTCCTCTGCTGACTTTAAATGCTGCGGAGGTGCTCTGCGTGTGGTGACAATGCCAGACTGTCCACCTGCCTTTACACTGTGTTGTGTCTTCCCCTGGTGTCACACTATCAGCTGCCTCTTCTCCCTGTGACCTTTTCCTGCCATCACTGAGCCTGCCTCTATCCGGCCCTAATCTGCTGTGTGCTAGGAAATTAGCAAACTATTAGAACAGGAATAAAGAGGCTTTTGTGTTTTTAGTACATGGAAAATGTGTTAGCCTTTCAAATCCTTCAAGTCTTTTCCACTTCCTGCCTACCTTTGGCTGGTTCTGGTTGGATGAGGCCAACTGGGTCCTCCTAAGAGGTGAGGTGTTTCATTTATCCTTGAGTGTTTTCACTTTCCCTTGATTTTACTCTGGTGGATAGCAGAAGCCCAAAGATCAACCTGTGGTCCTCATTTCAAATCGCTGAAAGTCCTTCCACACCCACCCATTTCATGTCCTGGGTCAAAGGTCTAAGTAACCCCCACAGATAGTGACATCCTACCACACCCCCGATCCTCATTCCTGAGTCTGGAACTGGAACCAAACCTGTTCTGGACAGTCGGTCACCAGAGTCTGCTATGTAGATGAAGTGATATTTTGGAGCATCCCTTCTTGGGCCTATCTTTCAATACCTAATTGTAATAAAGGTGGGTTTCATAGTCTGAACCTGAATAATTATACCCATGAGGATGCAAATCACCTATAGAAGCATTTTTAGTTGTACTTCACTTGTTCCTGCATCACACACTGGTCATGGTACTAGCTTTTTTGTGCCCAGTTTTGGGGAATACGTTGTCAGCTCCACCCCAGTCCCTTCTCAATGAGTCTGAGGCTGTAAGACATTTCAGGGTTTTTCTCTTCAAAATTTACCTTCTCAGGTCTTTTGCTGACAGAAGCAATTTCATTGATTGGGAGAGCCGATGTGTTACTGGCAAAAACACAATGAGCTGGAATCACCTGCAGGGGAAAAGCATTGAAGAATGTGTCACGTGGGCCTGGGAGGTGACTGGAGTCCAAAGTCAAGTAATGAGTGACACTCGGGCCCAGCCATCCTCTCACCCGGAACTGTGCGGACTGCAGACACACTGCCTGACAGTTAGGACTTCCTAGGGCATGTGCTGAGGAATGTGTTGGCCTTGTTCTCTTTTCCATTCAGCCTTCCAGTTACAGCCCATCCTAAGGTCACCTAATCCTAACCTGGAGACTACACCCCAACAGTTACATAAATAAGACACTTCAGATAAACACTGAAAAAAGATGACCTTGAATCAAAATTCAGTCATTTCAATATCCAGCATGGGTGTCAGTCCTCTTCTTGTTTGGATCTGCACTCAAGTCTAAAAGCTTATGACACCCCCACCCTTCAATCTTTATAAGAATAAGCCATAAAGTGCATGCCTACCTCATTTTATACTCTGTGCTAAAAAGCGATACACCACTATAATTATATTTACAGTACATGAATACTATTAACTATCAGCTTTATCAACCTGCAGAATAGTCTATAATGTAGACCCTTCTCAGCATTCTGTCCATGATCCCAAATTATTCATGTTTGTATTCAGATGCCTGGATGAAAACATGGAAAGCACACCTGTGGCATTTGTGCAAATCTGGGACAGGCAGAAGCCCAACATCAAAGATGAAAATCGAGGTTCAAGATATATTCAACACACTGAAAGCTGAGTGTAAAACAAGATAAATTATAATGGGGATAAAGTATTGCATTAAGATTTTTTAAAAAGGGAAAAAAAGAACTAAACGGGCACCTGATGAACAAGACCTGAATTGGCAGTGATCCCCTGATAAAGATCCCAGGATTTTAGTTCATCAAAAGTATAATGTGAGTTGACAGCAGAGCATGACTGTAAGAAAGCTACCGCAGTTTCCACTTACAATATGGTGGTACAGTGTCTAACGCTGGTGGCAAAATTCTTTATGAAGAACAAACCAATGTCACCAAAGATGGCTGGCAAGAGCTCCTCCCCTCTTGTACATGCCCGCTGGTCCTCCCACCCAGGAGGAGTCTATTTCCCTCCCCTGAATCTGAGCTGGCCTGTGACTTGCTTTGACCAATGGAATGCAGCAGCAGTGACTGCCAGTTCCAGGCATAGCCTTAAGCCCAGTAGCTTCTGCATTTGCTCTCTTGGAAGGCAGCAGCCATGCTGTAGAGAAGTTCTGGCTGACTGCTAAGTGAGGGAGGCCACCAGCAGAGGGAGGCCACTGGGAGGCGCTCCAACCAAGCTTTCCGCTGAATGCAGGCATATGAGTGATGCTGAGTGAAACCACATGGTTAAGGACCAGCCACCTCTAGGAAGCCCTATCCAAACTGCAGAACTGTGAATTGTTTTCACGTGGTTTGTCATATGGCAACAGAGCACTGAGACATGATGAAGATACTAAAGGGGACAACCAAGGCAGTGAGAAGTTTGGAGAGAAGGATTGTGAAGAATGTCAACGGAGTGGGTTTAGACGGTCATCTAAGAGTAATGCTCACTACTCAAAACACCTAGAGTGTTGTCAAGTCAGCACCATTTTATTTATATCATTTATTAGCCCACGTTCTGTTTGTCTAACTGTAGGCTAGTCTAGGCATCAGCTCTATCTCATGCCTGGATTACTGCCATTTCTTCTTTTGTGGGCTCTTTCTTTATATTACAAGTACTTGTTTTGTTTCTGTCATCCCATCTCAAGAACTGTGACGTAGAGCATTTGGGATAAAGACCAAAGCAGCTCAGCTGGCATGACGCAGTGGTTGAGCGTTGACCTATGAACCAGGAGGTCACGGTTCAATTCCTGGTCAGGGCACATGCCCAGGTTTCGAGCTCGATCCCCTGTGTGGGGCATGCAGGAGGCAACCGATCAATGCTTCTCTCTCATCATTGATGTTTCTATTTCTCTCTCCCTCTCTCTTCCTCTCTGAAATCAATATTTAAAAAAGCAGTATTTCCACAAAGCAGGCATTTGAATCCTGCCTGTTGAAATTGTTTCTCCCTATTTCCTTTGCTGTCTAGACCTGAAGAACTTCTGTTATGGCTTACGGTCAACCCAAAATGGCGAGAAATCTGCCTCTACTCCATGAGGTTATTTGTATGCTTGGGTGACTGAACTCCCATATACGGCTAACAAAACCTGTGCTTAGGATAATAAGCTACTTGATTTTCCTCCATAGGACTTAGATTTGACATTTACAACATACAGCGTGCATGAGCGCACATAAAAACTTAGGCTTGGGCTCTTCATAAAAAGAACAATGAGTTTCCTGTAGTTCCTTAAACCCCGTATCTGTGTCCTCCACTCACTATACTAGGATTCAAGTACTCAGGCCCCTTACTTACCGCTTCTACTTCCTTCAGTACTTTGTGCTTAAGATTAATGTCCTCAAAAACAGCTTCAATCACCATGTCGGCCTTTTCAAAACCCTGGTAATCAAGCTGCCCAGTCAAGTTGTTGAAAATGAAGTCTCTTTCAAATGATGTTAGAGTTTTCTTCTTCACTTTATCGTTCAGTCTAGAAAAAAAAATTTCTAGTCAAAAGGGAAGAGTAGGAAACTAACATTTATTGACTGTCCATGGGCCAGAGAGTATATTATGTTTTCCACCAACTCTGTGAGGTCTTATTACCATTTTGAGGGAGCTGACTTGCTCAAAAAGACTCAGAGCGACTTGTGGTCAAAGAGCTAGGTACCAGGGTACCTAGGGCACAAGGATTCAGACAGGTAACCCCCAAGTCCACATTCTTTCTCTTACAAGATGCCTCTCAGAGCTCAATTTACATAAACTGTATCATTCATAAAACAGTTTTGCCATGAGGAGTAAACACAAATACTAGAATGGCAAAACTAAGAGCAGCTCTCAGCCAACCCATGTCCTAGACCATATGGATTTATACTTGCTTAAAAATCATTTGGTTATTCTGTATTTATAATTTTATAGAGGACAGAGACCAAGAATTATTTCTTATATTCTTAACCAACTTTCCAGTCAATACCTAGTAGCATATTGTATTGATCACATAAAATATTAACTCAAGGTTTCTTCTTTCCCACTGAGAGCTAAAAGGATTTCTGCTACTCAAACATTTATCTGATTATTTTTTACTAGAGGCCTGATGCACGAAATTCGTGCAAGGAGCTAGGCCCTCGCAGCCTCATCTTTGTTGGGAAGGTCGTCTGGAAGGTCGTTTGGCTGTCTAGTCTAATTAGCATATTATACTTTCATTATTATAGATTGCCAAGGAAAACAGGCTCTCTTAGGTTTTCATCTGACCATATTTTCAGAATAAATGACCTAGAGTTTTCCTTTGAATGAAGAATGAAGCTAAAGCCCCTCCACTAATTTCCTTAACCAAAAAGAAAAATTAAAGCCACAAGGTAAGTTCAAAGAAGTATGCAAGTCTTAAAAGTATGGGTTCAAACCTCCTGGTTTCTGAAAACCATGTCAGCAAACAATACAACTTGTCAGAGTTCAAGATATAATCAGTTGCTCTAATGCCAATGCCTAATGAAACTATTTCTGAGGGAGGACAGGATCCATGTAGGTCCCAAGTCAGCAGTCTGGTGAGGGGCATTCACCGGAGCCTGGTGTTTCTAAGGCAAAAGGGAAACCAGGACACCTGGACCCAAAAGAGATCCAGGGAGGAAGCTGTTCTAGAGTAGCAGTTTCTCACTAGGTGACTATGAAATGCTGTGGGGCGCTTGCAGGCTAGTCTAAGAGCGATGCTGATGTCTAGCACACGTCCTTTCTTTTGCTCCAACTCCTTGTTATTTTAAAATAATCTGCCAAAATGATTAAATCTGCCAGGTCCCTGGTAGCAATAGATGAGCTTCTCTGCAGAAAAGGGGTAAAAACATGCTTTAAGCTATCTAATCCACTTGAGAAACAAAAAAATGCTCACTCAGCTAACAGTCACATGCAGGTATTCTAAGTGCAGCCAGCCTGTCCATTACAGTGGAGCAGAGAACTGAGCTGAAACCAATTCCCATTTGGAGAAGCTGCTGCTTCACTATTCCCCTCTGCAAAACAGGCAGCAAGTGTGTGTGTGGGGAGAGGGTTAGGTGAGCAGAGGGAGAATAATATTTACTCTTTATTAATTCAGAGGTAAGATGGAGACAGTCTTATAAAGCCTCAGACACTGCGGAACCAAATCAATCAACTGCTTCTCCACAGTCACGCCAGTCAACAAGGCTCAAGAGTTCTGGTCCCAGTGCTACCTTCAACGTGCAGTTACTCGCATTTCCTCATTCCTAACCTCAGTTCTCTCCACAAAGACAGTCCATAACAATAAGCTATTACATGAAAACTATCAAATTCACAATTTTCAGTCTGATACCAAAGTACAAAATAAATGTCATTTAAAAATATCTAATAGATAAAGATTTTTCTTCTGCACTCAAAGACTACAGAGTCTGATAATACTAATGGTTTATAATATCTGTGACAACATGAAGTAAAGGAAGGAATTAGCATTTCAAAAAATCAGCCCTAGCCGGTTTGGCTCAGTGCATAGAGCCTCCACAGTTGGACTGAAGGGTCACAGGCTCAATTCCAGTCAAGGGCACGTACCTCGGTTGCAGGCTTGATCCCTGCAGGAGGCAACCAATCAATGTGTTCCAAATTTATTCATCTCTCACATCGATGTTTCTCTCTGTGTGTCTCTCCCCCGCCCTTCCACTCTCTCTAAAAATCAATGGAAAAATATCTTCGGGTGAGGATTAACAACAACAAGATCAAAGGAAACATAGCTCAACTATGGAGCATCTAGTACTCATCATGTTCAGCAAAAAGGAATCAATGATGGCAAAAAACACTAAAACCATTCTACCTCCTGGCAATGGCAAGAAGCAGGCTTACCCTTTGAACACTTGTTGCTGTCCTCGGCTCAGCCCGGTTAGCGTAGCATCTTTAAGTATAGTCTTTAGGCCCTTGTCCACAGAGACTTGGGCAATGCCAGCTCCCATCAGCCCTGCACCAAGAACAGCGAGGTTCCTGAAAGGCAAGGATAAAATGACTTCTAGTAAACAACTTTTCATCATTTACGTAAAAGCAGGAGAATGCCCAAGTTATCATCCAATAAACCAACTAAAGCAGACACAATCATAAGGTATTTCAAATAATTATTTATAAAAATACACCTTTAATAAATGACTGATTTTCAAAGTTAAATTAAAAAATCCTTTAGGTTTATAAGAATTGGACTACCCAAGAAGATCGAATCATATTGATCTTCAATCATGCCGAGATCACTGAAAAGAAAGCCAAAAAGTTCTTGGTAGGAATAGGGATCTAATGTGCCCAGGACAGAGGTAGTTTATGGCAAGATTGAAGACATAAATCTAGCTGGGTAGATCTTCTTCAAAGACATCTACAAGCTTAGCACGTGGGGAAGTCCACAGGGCTTCCTGGGGAGTTTAACTTACTTGACCTCCTTCTGTGGCGTTCCAAATTTATTCTTCTTGCACAGGACCTGACCATGGTACAGCCCTATCAAGGCCTTTGATTCTCTGGTCATCGCAAGCTCTCCAAATTTCTGAAATGTACAAAAGAACAAGGAAAAGTAGAACTTCACAGTCTCGGTGATATGGATCCCTTCCGTTTGGTTTCTCTGGGGAACAGAGGTAACACAAGCAAAGCCACAGGTCCTCGGGGTCTCAGCGGTGCCTGTGCTGGCATCTGTCTTCTACGGACGTGTCTTCTCTTTACTCTTCTCATCTGCAGCACTTTCCGACTACTGCTTTCAAAGGTGTTGGGTATAACTGAGCTCATTCTCTACATTAGAGTCCTGGTAGCCTTTTTCATGGCATTAGTGTGTCAGAGCCAAAATGGATCTTCATGATCATCTCAAGCAACCCTCTCGGTTTAAAGATAGGGAAGAGGAGGCCCAGAAAAATTAAATGACCTTGTTCAAAGTCACACTGTCTCAGAGCGGCAGAAATGGAACCTGAACCCAAGCAGTATGACTTTCAACTCCCGTTCTCTTGCCACTGTAGCAGGTGGCCCACACGGGACCTACCACTTTGAAAAGTATATCACCACTTATGGAGAACAAGTCTCAGCTTAGTGGTGAGGAGCATGAGCTTTAGAGTCTGGTTTGACAGAACTGGGTTTGAATCCTGGCTCTGCCATTTCTCAGTTGTGAAGCTTTCTTCATCCTTAAAATGGGAAAACAATGCCTCTTTTAACAGTATTGTGGGGATTAAATGAGAACACTAGTAAAATGACTAGGGTCTCAATGTTAGCTATTGTCATCACCAATATCACTAGAATTTATTGTTATAATTACAAGGTTCCAAATAGTATTCCAAAGAAGGAATCCCTCTAATAAAGTTGCTATCATGTCCTCATAAAACATGAAACACTGTTCTACAGAATCAATGCTTTACTAATCTTGATTTAGCAGTGATTCAATAAACCAGTGATTTTCAAAGTGTGGGTAGAAATCCATCAGTGTTCATGAATTTAGTGGGTAGTGCTAAGTAGAATAGAAAGGAAATACCTAGTACTACACATGCAGGGTGAACAATTATTGATGCATAAAATATGCTTTCATTTTACTGATGGAAGAGAATAAATCAGAAGTGCACTGCAGTAAGCAGTAAGTACAGACATGTTTTCTCTGGAACTTTTCCTAAGCTCTTCCCATACCTTTTGTCCTATTACCAAAGAGCAATCATTCTTCAATGATTGCTTAGAACTTACAAACAACCCAAACCACTGAAATTTGCCGTATCACCAACTCAGAAAGTAAAAGGAGTGAGGCTGGTTCCTGTATCCCTTCTCTTCTTTCATTTATTTTTTTAAAAATTAATTTATTTTTTTCTTTCTCTTTTTTTTTTTCTTAGTGGGTGCAAAAAAACATTTCCTTTCATTTTCTAATTCAAAGTTTTATCGCTAGGCCCTAACAAGTAAGGACTATACTTTTCTATCAATGTATCATTTTATCACAATACAATCAGACCGACTTCAGCACAAAATGTCCAAACTATTCATTCGAAAGAATTGTAACTCTGCCCCTGCTCTTCCTTGTTATACCTTTGTTATTGAGAGCAAGTTCAAATAGTTGGGGACCACCAGGTTTTCTTGCATCTACTTGCCTACTGAGATTAATCAGAAAAAATGGTAACCACTGGAGGAAATGTTTTACTAGGCTTTGAATACTTTTTCTTTTTTCAGTTTTGTACATTCTCAGATCTTTGGTTTTCTTATATCTAATAAGCAAAAATCACAAGAAAAAACTTTACCTGAGATTCAGAAAGATAGCCAGCTTCTTTTCCTTCCTCAAGTCCAGTCTTGACCACCTAAAAAACATACAAAATACTTGTTCACTGTTGGAGTGGATTTATTCAGAGAAGGCTGAATAAAATTACTAGTGTTGTTAGTTTTTTAGTTTTTGTTTAAACACACACACACACACACACACACACACATATAAATATTTCAAATTGATTTCAGAGAGAAAGGGAGAGGGAGAGAGATAGAAACATTAAGGATGAGAGAGAATCATTGATCGGCTGCCTCCTGCACACCCCTCACTGGGGATTGCACCAGCAACCCAGGCATGTGCCCTGACGGGGAATCGAACTGTGACCTCCTGGTTCACAGGTCGACGCTCAACCACTGAGCCAAGCCAGCCTAGTGTTGTTAATTTTTATTTTTAGCTTCTTTCTTTACTTATTTTAAAGAAAAGTTTATTTGATTTTTAAGGGAGAGTAACAGAGAGAGAGAAACATTGATGTGAGACCGAAACATCTATCAGCTGCCTCCTGCACAACCCCTACCAGGGACTAAGCCCATAACCGGGCATGTGCCCCAACCAGGAATTGAACGGGCAACCTTTCAGTGACCAGGATGACACCCAACCAATTGAGCCACACTGGCCAGGGCTAGCGTTGTTAGTTTTTTTTTTTTTTTTTTTAAATATATTTTATTGATTTTTTACAGAGAGGAAAGGAGACAGATAGAGAGCTAGAAACATCGATGAGAGAGAAACATCGATCAGCTGCCTCCTGCACATCTCCCACTGGGGATGTGCCCGCAACCCAGGCACATGCCCCTGACCGGAATCGAACCCGGGACCTTTCAGTCCGCAGGCCGACGCTCTATCCACTGAGCCAAACCGGTTTCGGCGAAGTTTTTAAAGACTAGATTGGAGCGAACCCGTAACCCAGGTATGTGCCATTAACCAGGAATCGAACCCATGGGCCTCCAGCGTGCAGGCTGACACTCTAACCACTGAGCAACCAGCCAGGGCCAGAACAAATTTCTTAACTCATTCTTGACCAACCTTCTGCAATCTAGCTTTGATCTGCCTTTCTGCAGACATCTCACTGTCCTCCTACAACACCTAATCTCAATAAAGTTCGTTGAAGAGCTTGGTGCTTCCCACCTTCTGAAACTTTGCTCAAAATGCCCACCTGACCTGGCCCCACTTTCCTTTCACCTACTCTCTACCCATTTCTCAGGGCTCAGGTCAAATCCTGCTCTTCCTGACCTCTTTGGTTCACAGTGATTATTCCCTCCTCTGAGCACTTAGCAATTTTCCTCCATCCCATGTATCCGGCAATAGTCCTATGCTGCTCTATAATGTCCCTCACACTGTTATCTGCCTTACCACATATATATGTCTAATCTCCCCAGCCCCGACTGTGAGATGAATGGAGGTAGGGGATTATGTTTCATATTTTATGTTCTTTGGTGTCTTCTGCCCAAAATATATCTGTTGGCTAATCCATTCTCCAATTCTGAGGTCTTTAATTATACGC